CGTGTTGGGGATTTTTTAATTTCCTACTTAAAGTATAGTTTTTGTCGACAAATAGGTGAAAAAAATTGATTTTTTTGCCTTTTTCCACTAAATTACCCATAATTCAAAATTGAGAGCATTTTTTCAAAAATCCCACGATTGTCGGGAAAGCAGTTACAACCATATTGAGCCGTCAATAAGGTATATTGGACTCTCCATGTCCAGGACAGAATTTGACCACCGTGCACCCTCAAAAGAAGGCCTACGTGTCAACCTTCCAGTTCTACCATCCAGTCCCGCCATCTTCTAAAGACAACACGACTCCTGTACTCAAACAAGAAGAGCTAACTCACTCATTAACATTAGCATTGTCTTAGCTTTGTCTTATTCCTTGTTTTCCGTAGTTTGTCTGAAATTTGTCTTTGCCTCATTCAGTTGTCTTAACTATTCCTATGCAAATCCATGTAGCAAGCATTGTTCTTTTTTTCTATTTCAAAATCAAGTGTAAACCTACCAAACCGGTATTACTGCCCAATCAGTTTCTTTATAAGAGAGTTGACCAGTCCGATTCTACCATTCCTGACTCTGAAGACTCAATAATCGGCGTTGCCTTCAAACCCTCCTGCTGTTGCTTATTTGTGCGTTACTCTTTGGTAAGTACAGCTTAACCCTAAACAGTACACCTGGGGTCCACGCGGACCCCAGCACTATATATTCTGTAATGTCTTTTTTGTTTCTAAATATTTTTTTCTGAAATTTTAGGTAATTGTCACCCACAAAGTTGTCTCTCAATACAGTGCAGAAAACTCCGTTTCTACCATTTATAAAAAAAAATATATCTGATTTTCTTTTGGGGTCCGCGCGGACCCCAGCCGGCTTTCGATCATAATGGATACACTGGCGTTCTTATACATTACCTTATTTCCGTTTTTATATGTTTTTATGCACTCATCGTATGTCTACCAAGTTTTCAGAGAATGGTGTAGTAATAGAATTAAATTTTTATAACGTTGGTGTAATTATTTCGTCATATGACGTCAGACATAGTCCGCCATATTGGATTTTGATCAATGACGTCATCAAATTAGCATATTCTATGCATATTAAATGATTTAACTTATATTAAATTATGTAAGATGTTATTAATGTTGGAAAAGAAGTGTAATTTAATATAAAACTCAGAAAATTTTTATGTTTAAACCAAAATTACTTCTATTTTCAAAAAAACTGCCTGCTAGAAACCCGTTGCCATGGCAACACAAAAAAACATCAACTTACTAGTACTAAACTAATATGAACTTTTTGCCAGAGACATTTTAGGAACGGTCTCCAAATTTGATACTTCTAGCGCAAGCCGTGTAGCCGCTATCTGAGATCAAAGTTGGGCCTCAAAAGCCCCTTCAGTCTGAAATGGGTTTAAAAATCGGGTATTTCTTCTTGTCTTCTTTTCTTCACCAAAAAATAGAAAAAGTTCAAAATGTATGATTTTTGTATGTAATGTGGACACAGAGGTTCCCACATCAGTTTGCAACACAATTGAGCTGGTAGCATGTTGATAATTTCTAAAAATTAGCAAAAAACTGTTCTGGGGTCCGCGCGGACCCCAGGTGTACAGATTAATCAGTCCGGGAAGGTGTACTGTTGAGGGTTAATATGTTGTTTCATTTCCCGTATCTTTCAAGTACATGCCTAGTGGCACACATGAATGTAAGTCAGCCTTGCTGTTTCTACGGCAAGGTTTTGGGGTACACGTGGAAAGGTTGCTAGTCTTAACGCTTAACAATACAGCGCCCGAAGTTACCTGTACCGGTATAGTCGGCGTACTACACTAGCCTTGCAGGCATACGGCACGGCGGCAGCTAGCTATTATAATACACCGAACGTCCACCCAATCGTTGCACGGTCAATTGCAGGAGTTGTGGAAGCTTTCAAGAGATAATTTCCAAACTGTTCTTGGTGGCATCGATTTCCCATCGACCTTAGTTCTTTGAAAATATAATTTTTTAATACCTTATTTATTGATAAATCTGAATCAACTAAGCATGTTGTTGACAGATAGCATTTAGTCTGTTCTTAATTAAATCATATTTGTTATGTGTCTCATTATTTCAGTAATATATAACGATGTTCATTTTCTAGTTCTGTTTATGGTATATTTTTACAATTTTTTTCTTATTTTTTCACAGCCAAATAATCGATATCATCACAGACCAGACTGTTGTGCCATGACGACCAACATCACGACGATAGAGGTGCAGTCCAACATGTCACAAACGGGAAATGACACGGACAAGAAACAACAGAAATGTGAGGACTCTGACAAAGAGTTCAGTGAGCTGGGTCATCTAAAGGAACACGTGAGAACTCACATTGGTGAGAAACCGTACAGGTGTGAGGAGTGTGGCAAAGGGTTCAGTCATCTGAAGGGACTGCGGCTACATATGAAGATACACACTGGTATAAACGTGTACCACTGTGAAGACTGTGGTAGGCAGTTCAGTTGGCTGGCACATCTGAAGAAACACGCCCTAACCCACACAAGGGAGAAGTCTTACAAATGCGAGGAGTGTGGCAAAGGGTTCAGTCAGCTGAAGGGACTGCGGCTACATATGAAGATACAGACTGGTATAAACGCGTACCACTGTGAAGACTGTGGTAGGCAGTTCAGTTGGCTGACACATCTGAAGAAACACGCCCTAACCCACACAAGGGAGAAGTCTTACAAGTGCGAGGAGTGCGGCAAACAGTTTGGTCATCCAGGTACTCCACGCTCGTCCCCAGCGCCCGTGGAGAAGCCGTAGGTTATAGATCGTGGCTTAGCCCAGGCTATGGAAAATAAACTTTCTTTAATGCAAATCTGTCGTTTTTGTTTTCTTTGCGCTTTCTAAAGAGTTATGATAACCTACTCTACTCTGGCGGTATGCGCTCGCTAGTACGTAACGTTACACGGCGGCCATCTGAATACATGTACACTGCATTCTTTCTACTATCGGGACCTAAAACAAGACGCAAGATTCCTATTTTGGGGTATAAAATGCTGTCACAATGGTAATATATACCAAATGAAACGGACCTTTACAAAGTACCTCATTTGGTGACGCTATGAGTGTACCGTTATCCCTCTACATTTGCCCAGAAGGGAGTTAGTCGCGGAAGGAACTTAGCCACGGAGGGAGTTTTGGCATTCTCCACGGACGCTGGGAGATCTGGAATCAAGATGGCCGCCGCATAATTAATGAGCTGGCCGGGCCAGGCGGAGATAATGTATGCAGGCGCCGAAGGAGACCCGCCCAGCCCCGATCGCTGCCGAGAATGGCCGACCGCCATGGAAACCCGAAAGATAATCATATGCAACAGTCCCGCTACGTAACGGGCAGCCAAAAATAGCCCTCGGGAGACACCGCGCTCGGTAGTTCACAACCAAAACAATGGAAAGTGCGATCGTCGTATACGTGTTACCAGACTCTCTGGCGGGGAAAAGGTGCCAAAATGGGGAAATCTACATGCCAACAGATTGTCAGAGCGGCGTTACAACGCTCTGGAAATGGCGGAAAAGGCTGGAAAACAGCGAAGAAGTGTCCAAAAGCACAGAAAGTGGCGCTTGTCGAGCCTCCAGAGAGGGGAGGGTTCCGTGTCCTCACAATGACTGCCAGGGCAGTGCTGTGTATTTCCAGAGAGGTGCAGGTCTGGACGTGCACTTCCGCGACAAAACATGGGGACAAAACCGGACGCTACTACGGAGAAGGCGGACAAAACAAAAGCTGAGAAAGTTGTGCTTCGAAGAAATGAAGCAGAGACTGCAAGACATCGAGGTTGGTCTGGCGTTTTTAAAACATTTGTATCTTGACTGCAGTGGAAAATATTATGGCTTGCCTCTCTGCATGAATATTTCAAAGCGTTCTGTTTACCGTTTAGTCTAGGGCGAAAGTTATGGAAAATTTGTTTCTTGGTTTTTTCAAGTTATGCAGGCAGTACTTTTATCGATGGTGTTGAAGTAATTTTCTCAGCTTTTACTTCAATCTGACACTGTCTATCAGATAACACCGCAAAACATATGATTGATTTGACTACAAATATTCCACAATAGTTGTGTTTTCAATACTGTCAACAATCTGCCATTTTATAAGTGTCTTAGCATGCTATATATGAGTGTAATTTTCCTTGCCTCATTGGCTACCTTATCAATGTGAGGGTGTGGAGAAAGTTAGGTGTTTTGATATCAAGCTGTCAATAAAAATTACACCATTTTCCATAAGGCCAATGGTCTTTGATGGATGTATGGTTTATTTTTGTGGTTATATTTCCCTACTGCAGCAAACCATATGCCTGGGTAACGTCTCATTTTTGTTTTGTTTTGTTCTGTAGGCACAGGAACAAGAAGGTCAACAGTACGAGGTGACATGCCCTGCTCTGAAAACCACAGTCACTGCTACTAGGCCTGAAATGGCAGCCAAGAAGGTGGGCATCATTCTCCATGCAGGTGGCTTCCTGCATACCTATGCAAGTGGGAGTGCACCATACTTCTTGAGCGTAGAAGACAAGGAGCTGGACAAAACAGTGCACATTGATTATCATGTCTGGTACATAGAAGACAAGGCAAAGGTACCATGTATTGTTTGCAAACCAGTTTTTGTAAAAATGGCCCAACACCACAATGTACATCCCGCCAGCAACAATGACTGTGATCATGAACCGACTTTAATAGATGCCGACATCTCCGATCCACTGGAGGAGTGTCTGAAGCGTGTGTTTGGCTTAAACTCTTTCAGGCAAGGCCAAATAGAAATTGTGACAGCTGTCCACAATGGAGGAAACACCTCTATCATCATGCCAACGGGAGGCGGGAAGACACTGTGTTTCTCTCTTCCCGCTGTTCTAAGGAAAGGGGTTACCTTTGTCATTGTTCCGCTGGTGGCACTTGGTGTCGATTTACTGAGAAGATACCAAAACTGTTCGATTCCTTCTGTGTTCATTTCTCACCTTAGTTCAGACGACAGCATTCAGAAGATCCTCCATGACCTAAACAGCGACTCACCACAAACCAAAATTATCATCACCACACCGGAAAGTCTTCTCGGCAAAGACAGGATCTGGAGGGCCGTCCTTGGCCTTAAGGAGAGGAATCTTCTTGAAATGGTGGTGATAGACGAGGCTCACTGTATGGATGAGATGGGACACGAGTTTCGCCGACCTACCTCGAACTTTCAAAAATTGCTGAACTGAACACTCAAATCGTCGCGGTCACTGCCACAGCCACACCAACAACTAAGGATTTCATCACAAAGCACTTGGACATGGGAAACTGTACAGTCTTTTCATCTTCAGTTGACAGGAAAAACATTGAGTACTCTGTGAGGCCAAAGGGAAAATCAAAAGAATCTACAGAAGAAATGGTGTGTAAAGTGGTTTCAGACTTCATAGGTCAAGCAGGGATCGTATACTGCCAAACGGTTTGCGAAGTGAAAGACATCCACTACAGGCTACAGGAGATTGGTGTCAAAGTGGTGAAGTACCACGGTGCAGGGACAGGGCAGAATGAGGCTGAAGGGAGGCAGGCTTTGACTGACTGGCAAAGAGGCGTGAAGGACGTTTTAGTTGCAACAAAGGCTGCAGGGGCAGGACTAGACAAACCTGACGTAAGGTTTGTCGTACACCTGGGGTGCCCCTCCTCAATCCCGGACTACCTTCAGGAGTCGGGGCGTGCAGGAAGGGACGGAAGACTTGCCAAAGCCATACTGTTCTTTAAGCCAGAGGACAAGGCTCTACACATTAAGCGGATCGGTGAAGTACAGAATGAACAGTACAGAAACCATGCCCTTCAGAGATTATCAGACATGATTCACTTCTGCGAAACAGAATGGTGTAGAAGAAAGCTATTGCTCGAAGCGTTTGCTGAAGACACTGTGCAATTCAGTTGTAATAAAACATGCGACAACTGCCAAAGCCCAACGGTGGCAAGAGAAGTCCTGCTGAACAGAGAGGCTGCTGCTATGGTGAGATGCCTGTCAGCAATCCGCCACACAGTGCCACAGCCTCCGCCCTCCCTTCTTGCCAGAGTCTTCCTAGGACTAGGGACGGGTAAAGAAGTAAAGCAGCTCAAACTGGATGAGCTTCCTGAGTTCGGACTGGGACAGAATTCCGGTTTTAATCTGAAGTTGTGCCAGAAATTCATACGTATCCTTACAAGAATGGACATATTAAAAGAGGTTATAGTGCCTAAGAGTCCCACACATAAGTTCTCGTCTATGTATATGTTCCCAGGGAGGATGGCGGAATCCGCTATTCAGAATGATATAGCTGTAACAATGTTCACAAGGTAGAGTATTTTATGTCTATTTATGGAGATACTGCATGCTATTCTTATTTGCAGATAGGGTATTGTAGATAATGTTCCCTGCATCGGTTTTTTTCTATACTTCTGAAGTTCATTTGACAACAATGATCACACTCCTTTACATTTAGGATCGTAGATAGTTTCCTGTCACTGTGTAAATATCCAATTGTTTTTTGTATCTGTTAACGCATCTATTGCAGCATCACCTGTGCTGTGCAATGTGAAACTTTGGGACCACATTCTCAAGAAGTAGAAGAAAAGTGCGTGTTACACTATTGTACTGTACGTTTGGGACCGCATTGTAGATATTGTTCCCTGTAACTGTTTGTTTTTCTTTTCTTCATTTGACAACAATGATGTATATATCACGCTTCTTTACATTTGGGACCACATTGTAGATATTGTTCCTGTAACCTTGTAAATATGTAAATATTTTGCATCTATTGCAGCATCACCTATGCTGTGCAATGTGAACTAGTCAGATTTGCCCTGAGGAAGGTGACAAGTAGTCACCAAAATGTTGGCCGTGAATAAAACTCCTGGTTGTGTAAAATGATTCTCTTCATTCCATGACTTACCAACCTGATGATAAAAAGATTCTAAGATAGTAACTTTGCACTAATTTTCATACCCAATTGAACACCTACCTAAAGACAATGCAGGACCACACACAGGAACATTCTGTTACATCACATTTATTCTTGAATATATTCAACATGATTCTTTCCCCCCTTTTGGGGCATTCTTTCATATGTGTGCCATTTTCTTAGTCAAACTGATGCTTCTTTACAAATGTTCAGGTTAAACCATAACATACATACAGAGAGAGAGTGGCATCTTCTTGGAAACCTTATCAAGTGACACAGCAGTTGAAATATATACTAGTATATGTAAATATATACAAAGTTACCTTTCCTGCAAAACAGCAAGAGTTGCCACAATGTCTTCAGTGTCAGAGTCAAAATAACAGTACTCAAACAATAGTATACAGAAGCTCGCTACTTATCACTAAATACATCATGTAACAGCTGGATAACAGACATCAGCTTTCAAGGCCAGGGTATACCCACTCAGTTTACAGCCTGTTTCAAAATGCAACAGTTCTCATAAAAAAATACAATAAGCACCACTCATTACTAAATACATCCTTTAAATAGCTGGATAACAGACATCAGCTTTCAAGGCCAGGGTACTAGTATACCCACTCAGTTTACAGCCTGTTTCAAAATGCAAGTTCTCAATAAAAAAATACAATAAGCACCACTCATTACTAAATACATCCTTTAAATAGCTGGATAACAGACATCAGCTTTCAAGGCCAGGGTACTAGTATACCCACTCAGTTTACAGCCTGTTTCAAAATGCAAGTTCTCATAAAAAAATACAATAAGCACCACTCATTACTAAATACATCCTTTAAACAGCTGGATAACAGACATCAGCTTTCAAGGCCAGGGTATACCCAATCAGTGACAGTCTGAGGTTTGTTCAAATGACTGTGTGGATGTCTGTCCCAAACATTTATACATTAGTCATAACTAAAGGCATCGTGAATAATAAAAAATAGGAAAAGGTACAGTAAATCATTCTGTGGGCACGTATGCCCTATAGACAGAGGGAACTCTCCTCCTCTGGGGGTAAATGTCATACATTTTCCTATCAAAGTTAGACTTCACCTTTTCACACCCTTTTACATAGACATCAACACAGTCATTTGGAACAAACCTCGGAGTGTCACTGAATGGATATATCTTGGCCTTACGCCGTTCAATGTCATGGTGGAAGTACTGCTCCTTGATGCAGTACAAGCAGACAAAAATCTGGTCTGCCAGTGCGGACGGCTCACTATGGCGTTTGGTGTTGTGTACATCGAAGCCACTTCTGGACTTATAACACGCCCTTGCACTTCCAACCAGTTGCAGGTTTACATTTAACCTCTGCAGAGTTTTGAGTGTGGTCTGGCCAGAGCAATACTGCTTCAGAGGTTTTACAATGTACGATTCCACATACTCATCACATGCAATGTTGTGACCAGACTTTCCTTCTACACTAACAGAACAATTTTGCCTAACCATCATTCTAGTAGCAATTGGCCATGCTGCAGTCATGTTCACTACGTGTGACAGTGCCTCAATCCAATAGTTCTTTTTTTGGACTGAGCAAATATTGGCAACAACAAGAGCCAGACAGTTTCTCTCTCAATTCCAACCCCATTCTTTATAGAACTATAGTACAATCTAAGCAGAGGTGCAAACAAGGTCACGCTCTGTATCCTGTAGCGAAATGCTACATCCTCTAACGAACATTTATGCATCCATTCTCTGAACTTAGCAACTAGCAGTGTACCCTTATCTGGACCACAGCTTGAGAACTCTTCTTCCGAGGGGAACATGTCTGACTGCCTAAACTCCAGGACAGCACTAAGCCCATAGCCATATGCCACATCTCTATTGGCCTCTCTGATCAGTTGTAAGTTGTTATCTTTAAACTTATCTTTGCCATAAGTTTCTTTTTTGATCTTCTTTCTCTTGAGGACATCAGTGATGATGTATAAAGTCCTCCGGGACCCTGGGACTTAGCAAAACATTCTTCAACATACCCTGCCGCGTGTAGGTCCCCTGCATCTCCGAAGTGAAATGGAATGCGACCTCATCACTTAGCCTGCAATGTCTGTGGTTCTTAGTTGTCAGGCCGTCCCCTACAGTTACATTCGGGGCATTTTTTCTATGGAACACATAGCCATCGTCATTAACATTGACTTCCTGTATCTGATTGACCAGGTCATCAACCTCATTGATCGTTTCGACATTTCCACCAGAAAATTGCATGTAAATATCTCTATCTTCTGTGGACGGAGCTACAAACTGCTCCAACATAAACATCATGGCATTATGGCCCATCCTTCTAGCAAGGGCTAGTGGGGATGGAAAGTGTACAAAAGTCAGACCGTCCACAGACACTGCCTGGGTCTCAAGGAGGTATTGTACAGTTCCAACGTCCTGTCTGAGGACAGCCAGGCAAAGGGGAGTAGCCCCACACCCTTCTTCACTATCAACATTTACTCCTGCTGCTACAATATACTTCAATAGTCTCACATTTCCTGTCTCTACAACTACATGTACTAAACTACGTCCTAAGTGATCTACTATGCTATTCCAATTGTCCTTAGTGTCCAGCACGTACTTAGCAAACTCATCTAAGTCCGCTACATTTCCTACCCTTTCAGCACGGTCGAGTCTGCCCTCCATATCCGACAGCACACTTTTCATGTTCTCGTCTTCTTTCTTCCACCGCTCCCTCAGTGAACCGAGGTGACGGGCCAGCGCTGCACTCAAGTTNTGCAATGTCTGTGGTTCTTAGTTGTCAGGCCGTCCCCTACAGTTACATTCGGGGCATTTTTTCTATGGAACACATAGCCATCGTCATTAACATTAACTTCCTGTATCTGATTGACCAGGTCATCAACCTCATTGATCGTTTCGACATTTCCACCAGAAAATTGCATGTAAATATCTCTATCTTCTGTGGACGGAGCTACAAACTGCTCCAACATAAACATCATGGCATTATGGCCCATCCTTCTAGCAAGGGCTAGTGGGGATGGAAAGTGTACAAAAGTCAGACCGTCCACAGACACTGCCTGGGTCTCAAGGAGGTATTGTACAGTTTCAACGTCCTGTCTGAGGACAGCCAGGCAAAGGGGAGTAGCCCCACACCCTTCTTCACTATCAACATTTTACTCCTGCTGCTACAATATACTTCAATAGTCTCACATTTCCTGTCTCTACAACTACATGTACTAAACTACGTCTTAAGTGATCTACTATGCTATTCCAATTGTCCTTAGTGTCCAGTACGTACTTAGCAAACTCATCTAAGTCTGCTACATTTCCTACCCTTTCAGCACGGTTGAGTCTGCCCTCCATATCCGACAGCACACTTTTCATGTTCTCGTCTTCTTTCTTCCACCGCTCCCTCAGTGAACCGAGGTGACGGGGGTTTGCAGGTATCTCTGGGTCTTCCTCATCCAGTGCTCCGTCTTCTTCACCCTCATCCCACGTGTCGGCTGCAATGGTGTTCAATAGAGTAGCTTGATCCACCCTGTGCTGCTGTATACTTTGGTTGAATTCATATCTCTTCCTGGCTGCTGTGATGTCAAATTGGATGTTGTGTTCATTAAATGGCAAGTACTGGATGTCCTTTCTTTCAATGGGAATACTGAACTCTTGAGCAAACTCCTCAATGATAGAAGCAGTTCCAGTGAGAGTTGCTTCATTTTCTGTAGACAGCGGGAGTACTGTGATATCTGATTTTTTACAGGTTGCTGGCTTTGCTGGCTTGTGTCTTATGGCATATTTGTTGGCGCTCTTGAACGACTGTGTTGACAGCCAGGCTTTCTGTTCTGCTGGCGTTTTGTCTGACTGAAGTTGTGTGTCCTCTGGGGAGTTGGTTAAGACCTATGTCTAGAAGCTCCCGGTACAAACTGCCCTGGGCCTCTTCCCCATATCTTTGCCAACTCGGGATGGGCATCAATGAAGACATCATCTACAGTGACGTCTTCCACGGGTTTCTGTGGAATCTCGGCGGTGTCTTTTGTTTCAAAAAGTTCCTTGATGCCCTCTAGATCTGGTTTTATTGCCATCCTTACAGTGAAGTTCCACATCTGAGGCTTGCCCTTCATCACCCTCATGTGGCGCACAGCTCTGAAGATGTTTATGTTGTCATACGCAAATATGACAGGCCCGTTGTCTCCAAACTCGCGTTCGATGACAGATTGAAAGCTGTTCAGTCGTCCTTCCATGAATCCCATTAGAGTGTCCCAGCTTTCTGACAAGCCAAGATGCTGTAACAGTGACACGAACTTTTTTCCCACGCCGTAGGATACCGCAACAAGGCCAAACAAAATAGCTAACGTACATTAATGGCTCGGGAGCTCCTCAAGTCCAGTAGGCCACACAGAGCATGTGTGGCACTCCTTAACTTGACAGCATTTGTTTTCAGCTTGTTCTTGTAGCTTCTATCAGTGACAATCAATGTCCACAGAATGGAGTGTATCAGTGGACAAGTTTCGTCGAGCGATTCTGCCAGCTGACCAAAGAATGTTTCCAGCACATCATCTATGACTCTGTCCCTCACAACCGATGTTTACCATGTTTTCAAACATCTTCATTTCCTCTGACTAGCTTTGTTCTCTGCTCCAACGATAAGTGATACCCACTTTTTGCATCTTGAAGGAGGCTGTCAGCACGTTCCTTGTACAGTCGTACAAGGGTGGAAACAAGTTTGTTCCTTTTGTTCCACAGGTCAGCGAAATGCGAACATGCCAGCTGCTCTCCGCCAAACTTGGAGACGCTTGCCCAGCTTTCCTCTAGCTCCCGGTCAACTTTCTCGATCAATGTCCTGATGTTATCTATCTGATCTGTGTTGCCCGCGGGTGTCTGCAGATGATCCAGCACTGCTGGCTTCCACCGTAAGCCTAACAGGGTCTTGCTGTGCTTCATGTAGTTAGCAGTAAACATAGATTTCACCAGTCTGACAACTGTCCTTCCTGTGATCATGTCAGTGTTGGCTAAAGCCTCTTCCTCTTCCTTGCTCGAAGAGTGTGCTGCCA